AACTATCAAAAATAATTACAGTGTTATCCTTCCTATACGATTGTGTCCATCTGACGAAGAGAGAATCATAACCATAAGCAACTGATGTATAAACTACTACGCATAAAAATAACTCAAAACTCAGTCTCTATTACTATCCATATAATATAGGATACTGTATAACCTACTTTACAATAATAATTTTACCAAGGTTTATGAAATACTTCTTTTTTTGTTGTACTTGGATTTTACTTTCTCTACTAATACTAATACTTATAATTAGTAATTAATTAACTACTTCAATTAATTTGAATGAAAAGTAGTACTTTTCTTATTATAATTACTGGCCTACTTCAAATTCTCTGCTTCCTGTTACATTCTCTAAATTTAGTGACTTGGTGATTGAAGGGTTAAAAAAAATGCAAACTCGATAAGTCGCGTCACGGATGGCTGGACAAGTTAGACGATTTATCGAAATGCTGATATTTGTAAATGACTCAAAAAATTCCCAACGCAGAATTAATATTAATATTTAAGTACAGTATCTTTTGTCTTGTTTAATCGGTTACAATTTCAACAATCGATCCACACAATTTACAGTTGCCTTTTAATATGGTAAATTCAAAACCACATTAAACTTAGTATGCCAGCTACATAAAATTAAGTTCAATAATACTAATACTCACATCAATTAAAAATTGTTAATTAAATAAAAGCGTTTTTCTTATTTTGTCTGTTCTCTTGCATTATACAGGTAATTTATAAATAATTTGAATCTTTAATTTTATCAAATACTATTTCAAATTGTCATTAGGGCCTTGCATCCTCAACACGTACAAAATTTGTTTGCAAACTGCAATAGAACCAGATAAAGTAGAGACAAAGCAATCATCTGAACTCAAAATTAATGACATTTTGGAAAGGCTTTAATAAGTAGTAACAGTAGTCCCCTGCATCACAAACATATGTTATGTATTAAGTTATTGTTCATACTAGCATGCTAATAGAAAATATAAAATAATTTTACCGCGAAAGCTTCAAATATCCAAAACAGCATTTAAGTGGGATTATTACTCGATAAATAACACGCGTTCTTGCAATACATCTGTGCTTTAAAGAAACTTGATAACATACCAACTGAATAATCGAACTGTATAATCGCGATTTGCATTTTCATGTGCTCAATAACTGTGAGAGAATAACTTCTGTCGAATAACATGTTGACACTGTGCATATTGCATTATCACGAAGCTACTTCGAATTTTATGCAAACTTGGTTGTTTTTTGTTAAATTGCTTAAATTAGCACAGAAATACTACAGAGATATTAATATACACTAAGTTTAAAATTTAAGTCTAATAACGCGAATACAGTCGACCCCATTTATAATCACTCTTTTTATAAGCACAGCAGTTGATTTTCAACTCGTAGAGATTTAAATGGTGTGTAGCTCACCTAGTCTTGGATAAGCCTACAGTGACCTTTACGTTGTGGCTTTAAACACTTACAACCCCAGTATCCCACAATCAACCTGCTAAAGTGGTTGAAAAAAACCAACTTTACCATAACAATGTTACACCATTTTTCCAACCCGAATCGATCATAATACAAACTCTGTCTACATTTACCAGCAAAACATATTGTGGTGACGTACGCTGGATAAACTACGTAACTGCGTATTTATACCTTTTGAATGAATTTCTAACTAGACAATTAAATTCCCAAGGTGACAAATATTAGAATGCTGAAATTCGAAATATTAATCTTTTGTGCTGCATCCCAACCACGTAAAATAGGGAATGTCGTAATTTTTTTCAAAATTTAGCCGGGGTGCGTGAATGGTTTCTGTGTTGTTGTATAATAATAAGTATCGTTGTGTTCTAATTCCGTAGCGCAGAGTCTGTTCGTCATCATAAAATTGTTACTGGAAGTTACATAATTTCCCTCCGCGCCATAGTTTCTTCAACTAATTCCATCACATCTCATTGACAAATTTTTTCTTATAAATACAGGCAAGCAGCGAAATATTCGATTTGACCAATTTTTTCATCCGTTGCGGTCAGAAAGTTTATCTGTGGATGGGATGAATGTAACTTGATAACATCCCCCCCCCCCCGACGCAACGAATGTATTCTTCCTGCGCGCCCATTACTTTCAAATAAATAGTATTGTTGATAATTAATAATAGGCAGAAACAAGAATAGTAAGGATAATTACACTGTTATGTAATCTCTCCACTCAGGTCAATTCCCTCCATCACCTGGTTCATGTCAATTTAATATGAACAGATATAGTATTATGAAAACTACCATTTGGTCATAAAAACTCACGCGTTTGCAACGAGCTTCTCTAAGTAATCAATATAGTAATAGTGTCTGTACCATATTAATATGAAAATGTTCAATCTTATAAAATGTCGAGTCGCGTGCATTAAATACGATACCGGAATGTTTGGTCACGTATATAATTATAACTCATTTTTAGTTATTATTATTGTTATTATTGTTATTATTATTATTGTTGTTATTATTGTTGTTGTTATTATTGTTATTATTATTATTATTATTATTATAGAGACAAACTATATCATAAATTATGACACAAACAAGAAAAAAAATAATTGTTCTATAAAAATAAAGAAAAAACCCTTTTTTTGAGATCTTTTTACCGGATTGTTTTGATTCGACAAAGTTAGTCAAATCCGAGTATACACTAGAACTATCTGTTAAGATAATGTCATAGTCGGATGATTTTGCTCTCTTCTCCGCTTTTGCAGTAATTTTATCTTTGAAACGAGCAACCAAGATACCAATCTTTCTAGGAACTTTATCGAATCTTGCTAATTCTCGTTCCATTGCCTCCACTTCATCAACCGGTATCTCGTTCTCATCCTAAATGTGAGCAGTAAACTTAATTACTGACGATAATGAATAAAAAATCATAAGCAGGAAGGATAACAATGATGACAATTACCAGGACACGAACTTCGATGAGATATCCTCGCCATCCTCCCTGGAGGTCGAGTTTCGGGTCCTCGAATGGGAAACTATCAAAAATAATTACAGTGTTATCCTTCCTATACGATTGTGTCCATCTGACGAAGAGAGAATCATAACCATAA